AAAAAAAAAAAAAAAAAAAAAAAAAAACAGATGGCTATTTTTTCTTTTCCATAAATATGGCTTAAAAGTCAATGGTTATTAGTGTCGGGCCTAATGACTATATAAATAAAAACAAATAAAAGACAGCCTAAGTTTCTGGCTAGCCATTTTATTACTCTGTTTAGTCAATAGTGTGCCGAATTTTAAATTCGACAAAAGTGATGAGTCATTTTCCTTTCAAAATATCCATCTTTTCAATTTAGTTTGCTTGGTAAGGGATTAAAAATAAATCATGTATTAAATAATAAACAAATAAAAATAAAAAAGGAGAACATCAAATGATTGTGTTAGGAGTTGAGAGACAGACAATTTAGTGGGTAGGTGAAGAAGTAAGACATAATTGTTCACTTTCTAAAGAGTTTAAAAACCTTTCTCCAGCAGCCAAAGAACACACACATTGTGTGCATTGGTGTGTGGTTGTTTATGTAGATTACAATTCCATTAATCCCTGAAAAAAAAATTAAGAGATTAAAAAATGGAGAAAAATGAGATAGAAATGAAGAAAAGAGTTGAAAAAGATGAAATACCACATGATGAAGAGCCTGAGAAGATTAACTACAGAGGAATCAAAGCCATGCCATTTATCATAGGTACAAAAACAAATAAATGGTTAACTTTTGTTTCTCTTTTTTTCCTTGTATACTTTTGCTTAAATTCTTGATCATATCTATATGTTTTTATTTATTTCAAATGATTGAAGGGAATGAGACATTTGAGAAGCTTGGAGCCATTGGCACCTTATCAAACCTTCAAGTGTATCTAACTTCAGTTTTCAACATGCGACGAATTTCGGCAACATTGCTTCTCAACGTTTTCAACGGCACAACCAATATAGCGACTTTAGTCGGAGCCTATCTTTGTGACACTTATTTCGGTCGTTACAAAACGTTAGGATTCGCCTCGATTGCCTCATTATTAGTAAGTGCACTTAAAAATCATATAAACTTAGTTTTTGAGGTTTAGCTTGAATTAGGCTTAGATACTTAATGAGTTCAAAATTTTATGTTTTGTTCAATCTTATGGCTATTTTATAACCTATAAAAACATGTTAATTAAATAGAACATCATAAGCAGAGGACTCTGTGACACTTTCCATATTATTATTTTCCTTTTCTTGTCTTACTTTGGACTAAAAGATCCAATTTCAAACTCATAAAAATCCAAACTGCAGTTCATTTTCCTTTTTTTTTTTTNGCTCTGACAGCCGCTGTCCCAGGCCTCCACCCGGCCCACTGCTTCCCGGGCCAGAAATGTGTGGGCCCCAATTCGGCCCAAATGGCATTTCTCATATTCGGGTTCGGGCTCATGGTAATTGGGGCAGGTGGCATTCGGCCCTGCAATATGGCCTTTGGAGTTGACCAATTCAATCCCCACACGGAGTCGGGCAAGAAGGGAATCGACAGCTTCTTCAATTGGTACTACTTTACCATCACTTTTGCGCAGATCGTGTCTCTAACGTTAGTCGTGTACGTGCAGTCGAACGTGAGCTGGTCGATCGGTTTAGGCATTCCCACGGTTTTCATGCTGATGTCGTGTTTTCTGTTTTTCGCGGGGACGAAGATATACGTGATGGTGAGGCCCGAGGGAAGCCCGATTACGAGCTTGGTTCAAGTGATGGTTGTGGCTTTTAAGAAGAGGAAGTTGGAGCTGCCAAAGGAGCCATGGATTGATTTGTTCAATTATGTGCCACCAAAGTCTATCAATTCTAGGCTGCCATACACACAGCAGTTCAGGTACAAAATAATGTAAAGAAAAATAAGGTTATAGTTTAGTTTAGTTGACCCAAACAGAAAAGGGTTGATTACTTTGTTTAAAAATTTGCAAATTGCATCATCAACAGGTGTATAATTTATATAAAAGAAATGCATGTGGGTTTTGGTGAGATTGTGGAGTAATTAGACTTATTTTCTTGATAATGAAAGCTGAGACTTCCAGCTTCAAGGCTAGAATAATGAAGTAGGCATACTCAATTCTCAATAATTTCTTTCTTCTGTTACATTATTTTAGGGGAAATGTTTGCATAATAAAAGTATATTGTATGAAGATATGGTAGTAAGTTAGGAGAACTGAAATCTTTGACTAATAATATGAATATGATAGTAGAAACTTAAGAGGGAACAAAATAACAATTAATTTCAACAACTTTTTACTTTTCCCAAATGGTTAGGTGATTGGATATGGATTTGATTTGGTTTTGATTGATTTTTTTTGTTAACTACAGTTAATTTTAAAAATTTTAGTATGGTTGGTTGTTTAGTGAGATTTTGAGTTTAATACTAAAATAATATTTAAAATAAAACAATTAAAGCTAATTTGATTTAAAAGTAAAAGAGATATGATTTGAAGTTGATGTAATTCGTAAAAATTATATGACTGAATGTACAGTGAGTTAAAGTTGATGTAATTCGTAAAAATAATTGATTGATATTATTTAAAAATATTTTATAATATTGATAATTGCAGACTTGAGTTAAAGTTGAGTTAACAAAAAAAAAAATGATTAATTTAAAAAATGATTGGTTTTTTCCGATTTCCCCTCGCAGCTTCTTGGACAAAGCTGCAGTGGCCACACCCAACGACCGGGTCAACCCGGACGGGTCACCCGCTGACCCGTGGAGCCTCTGCTCGAGCCAACAAATCGAAGAGGCCAAGTGCATCCTCCGAGTCATCCCCATCTCCCTCACCTCCGTACTCTACCACATCGGAGTCCAGCAGCAGTACGTCGTCTTTCAGGCCCTCCAATCCGACCGCCGCCTCCCCGCAACCAAATTCCAGATTCCGGCCGCCTCGTACGTCGTCTTCCCCATGCTCGGCCTCTCCCTGTGGGTCCCCCTCTACGACCGCCTCCTCGTCCCCCTCGCCCGCCGCTTCACCGGCGTCCCCACCGGAATCACCGTCCTCCGGCGAATGGGCGCCGGAATATTCCTCACGGTGATCGAATCACTCGTCGGGGGTTTCGTCGAGGCCCGGAGACGGTCAATGGCCGTGGGGCCCACCTCGTCTATGTCAGCCATGTGGCTCGTCCCGCAGCTAGGGCTCGGTGGGTTGGCCGAGGGTTTTAACGCGATTGGGCAGCTCGAATTCTACTACAAGGAGTTTCCTGAGAATATGAAGAGTGTGGCGGGGGCTTTTTTCTTCTGCGGGAGCGCGGTTTCGAGCTATGTGTACAGCCTGTTGATGGCGGTGGTTCACCGGACGACGGGCGGTAAGTGGCTGCCGCAGGATCTGAACAAGGGGAGGCTCGACTATTTTTATTACCTTGTCGCGGTTTTGTGCGGGTTGAATTTCGTGTACTTTGTGGTGTGTGCAAGGTGGTACAGGTACAAGGGAAGTGGAGATGGAAGATAAAGAAAAACCTAGACAAAAATATATGTTTCTGTGCAAATAATGAACTCTTGAGCTGTAATATACAGCTTCTTTCTGCAGTTACCCATTGGAAAAGAACAATAAAAAAATATGAATCATTCTGCAGATTTTCACATTTCAAATCATGAATTTCTGTATTCAGGTAAGGGACATATACAGACACTCACAAAAAAAATTACACATGAGGTTACCACACAAACATTAACAACACTCCTCACTTTCTTCACTGAAGAAGCAATTAATATCAGGTATTCTAGGATGACTGTGGAGATTCAAACTGATTACCGGAAGATTTAAGGTAAAAGAATAAAGTGTATCGATGGATATGACAACTTCTAAACTATGACAGTTTGGCCTGTAAATCCATCCTGGAGCTGTAGGGAGCCATCTTTCATCAAGTTAACGCTCAAGCTCTTGAATCTCTCTCTAGAGTACTGTCGGGATGCCTTTCTCCAGTCAGTCCCAGTTTTCATCATTGCAACAAACTCTTCGTAACTAATTCTCCCATCCTGAAAGAAGCAGTTGTTGCTTATTAGTGAAAAACAACTGAAGAAGCTTAGCTAAGAAATGCTTGAAATGTGTTGAGAAAATGATTTGTAATATATTTCGTGTTTCTCTCTACGACAAATTTAGTAAAGAAGAGAAAGATCACCTTTCTTAAGTTAACAAATTGCTCGCAAACTGGACTTATTCAGAGGGTTACATGCAAAATAGGTAAAATTGAAAGGATATTTGTAACATACGATGGACTTTTGTATATTGTTAGCGATATCCGAAGGGTGGCTCTTTCTTTCACCTAGCTTTGGAACTGTCTAAGCAAAGCTTTATATGTATGCTGGAAATATGTAGGAATAACTTCTCAGAGAGAGAGAGAGAGAGCAAGGAATTAGTCGAACCTTATCAGTATCAACTTCCTGCATGATGTTATTGAGCACATCAAGATCAGTTTCGCCCGATTCATCGACTAAAGCTTCTCTTAATTCATCGAGCTCGATGTACCCACTTTCATCTTTGTCAAAGAACATAAATGCTCGGTGGATATGTTCGTCATTCTCCATCCTCTGTAAATGGATAGTGACTGCCACAAACTCCCCATAATCCAGAACACCATTGCCGTCTACATCAGCCTATTGAAAACATCATAAACAGTTAGAAGCATTACTAGTAGCCATAAAAACCTTAAAATGTAATTCCAGTAGAACTTATTATACAGTCACATGTGTTTTGACACAAACTAAGATTCTGTGATGAGAAAAACTTGCCTGGAGGAAATCGATCATTGTTATCATATAATGTCGTGGCAGTTGTATATAAATTCACCGTTTCAGTTTGTTACACATCAACATCTAAAACCATAAAGATGCAATCACATGGAAAAGTATGATGAACAACAAACTAGGCAAATAACAGATATACTTCACTTAGAAGAAAGATCCTTGAAAGAAAAATCAGAGACCAGTTAAGTGAAAGTAAATACTCCAAGGGACTTGAATAGTTACAAAATTTCAAATGCTATATAGGTCACAAGTTTGAATTAGCTTGTGAACGACAAGGAACTCCATTTGGAAGTTGTAACTTGTAGCTAAATACCCAACCGTATCGTTACATAATTAGGAAACTCAATGTTATTAGCATGCTGCATTTCCATATTTAGATCCTCTAGGAGTTTAACATATTAGGATAAAAGAAACTCCCAAATACGAGACAATCTATAAAAACAAAATGTGTGTGTCTGTTCATGGAGGAATTTGTTATGAAGTTTTTGAAGGTCAAGAACTGATAATTTACCACATCCATCAGTAACTTAATCTCAGGTTCCGCCAGCTGGGAACCGACTTTCTTCAGACCAGCTCTTAACTCCTCATATGATACCTTTCCATCCTCGTCGGTATCCATCAACGTAAACATATCTCTAATTACTTCAACCTCTTGAACGGATAAATGTTCAGCAATTACCTACAGTCATTTGAGGATAAAAAAGGTAATTATAGAGATATAAAGTAGAATTAGTGAACTATAAACAATATGGACAGGGTCAACTGTTTATACTAAAGAAACATATCCCTATAATCATAAATTTCTAGCAAGTGTATGTTTGGTTACAATAACTTAATATTATTAAGCACCCTTTTACCGCTTCTAACAATGGTTGTCTATAGCAATAGCGAGGACAAAGTTAAATATATCCGATGTTAGATGATTACCCTCAATGCTTTCTTCTTGAATTTGTTCATGACAGAAAACTGCTTGAGTCTTGCCCTCACGATATCTCCCAGTGGAACATTTGAAGCCTTTTTAGCATTTTGAATCCATGGATGCTCTGACCAAATAAGAATGAGGAGCATATTACGGATGTTTTATAGTCCAAAATGTTGGAAGAAGAATCATATTCTCTGAATTTGGAAAAACACTATATTTCATAACAAAGATTTGACGAAATATCTGGAAGATGTGAGTAACCGAGTTCTGTAAATCATTACACGTCTCAAGAATGTGCTCATAAGAAAATGCTCAAAACAAACTTACATGCAGCATTTATGTCACTTTATTCACACTTCTCGCGAATGTGCTCATAAGGAAAATACTCAAAACAAACTTACCCAGCACCTGCTGAGCTGTCAAACGCTTTTGGGGGTCTTGCTCCAGCATTTGCCTAACAAGGCTTTTGGCACTTTCAGAAACCTGTGGCCATGGTTCCCTCTTAAAATCAATCACTCCTCTTAAAATTGCAAGTGCAACTCCTTGTTCAGTTTCTGCAGCAAATATTGGAACCAAAATCAAAACAATCTTTTAGGAGATATTT